TCTCCCTGTTTCACTTTCTTCAGAACTTATTTTTCAATGGTTCCTAATTTATTTTTGTTGCTTAGTTTTTTATCTTTATTTTTTATTAGTACATATATGTCATATATACTGATCACATTCATCATGGGGCACTTTTACATGTACATAATATACTTAATTCTTTTATTACCCATTCCCCTCCTCTCCCTTCAACTCTTCTTTCGCTCCTCAGTAGGGAATACAAAAGCTATTTTTTAATTAGTACCGGTTTGCAATGCATAGTGTACCAACTCTCTGCTGTGGATCATTGTCTCTGGCTCACACTCACGCAGCTGCTATCTTGCTCTTCTGCTAGTTTCATTTCTGCAACACTTACAATATATGTTGCCTCCCCTTTCTATGTTTTTTGTTATCCTCAAAATAAAATTGAGACTCCATAGCATAACAGGGAAGGTCCCTCCGCATCTTACCTCTAGTCACCTCTGTGATCCCACCACTGCTTCCCTTCCATACACTCCTCCATATTTGATTACTTTTTAAAACAAGACTTTACTATCTTCACAGTCTATATCTTTGTGATTGTCTCTGCATTTTCTCCCAGGTCTCTACATGGCTAGCTTCCTGGTGTTTTCTCAGCAGTGCCTTCCCTGACCATTATAGCTGGATGTACTCTCTATTTCTACATCAGTGTATTATATTGCCTGTTTCTTTTTTCCTAGCACATATCTTTGAGATAACTAGATGTATTTAACTCTTGATAGGAAGTCAGTTAAGTATTTGCACAATGGATAAATACAGACCAACTCTTTTCTTTTCTTTCTTTTTTTTTTTTTTTTTTTGGTACTGAGAATCAAACTCAGGACCTTGCACTTGCTGGGCAGGCGGTTATGCCACTGAGCTCTATCCCCAGCCCACAGACCAACTCTATTCTAAGAAATTTGCTAGTTGAATTAAGACTTTGAAATCAGACAGTTAAGTAGCTTTATCTGATGATAAAAACTGTAGTGTTTAATAGGCTATTCTTATTTTTATTAAATTTTGTGAGCTACTCCCCTGTATTTTGTGATACCAAGGAATCATGTCCTAATGCAAAAAAAAATTAGTGACCTATAAAGCTGTGTAGCAAGGGATTGGCAGGAGTAGCTTGGTTACAACCTCTTTTTATGCAGCCTGCAGGCTAGGAACAGGTTTTACATTTTTAAAAGATTAAGAAGAAGAAGAAGTTGTGAGAGAGCCAGACAGACAGGGATAGACTGTTTAAAATATTCTCTGACCTTTTACAAAAATACCTGCTACCCTTTGCTAGAGGATTTGATCCATCATTACCTACTCTTCCTGTGCCAGGACAACACTCCTCAGTCTATTTAGTTACATCAGCCTCCTGTCTTTTCTTCATCAAATCAGGGCCACTCAGACTTCAGGATCTTTGCATTTGCTCTTTCCTCCCTGTAGAATACTCTTTCATATATGTGTGGCTGTGGCTTACCCCCTCAACTCCTTCCTGTCATTGCTCCAGTGTTTCTTCACAGTGTGGCCTTTTTTGTGCACATTATTTAAAATTGCAATCCACCTGCTCATGCTTATACTCTCTTTCTTTTTCTTATTTTTTCCTTTGGACTTATCACCATGTACCTGTTTTTTTTTGTTGTTGTTGTTGTTTTTTTTGTTTTGTTTTGTTTTAACATACTCTTTGTCTTTACAGTAGACAATAAACTCAGTGAAAGCTGAGATATTTTGTCTGTTTCATTCACTACCCTATCTCCAAAAATAGTATGTTGTACATAGAAACTTGCATTAAATATTTCTTAAATTAATGTTAATTTGTTTGTTAACGTCATTATGAGAATCAACATATAAAAAATAGCTTCTTTCAAAGTACTTCAGTAAGCCAGGAGCGTTGGCTCATGCCTTTCAGCACTTGGGAGGCTGAAACAGGAGGATCACTGTGAGTTCAAGGCTAGCCTAGGCTACATAGTGAAATTAAGACCATCCTGAATTATAAAGTGAGACCCTGTCTCAAAAAAGCAAACAAAACAAAATGTGTCAAAAAATGTTGACTTAAGTGCTGTAAGCCATGCCTTGACCCCATCTGTGAAGGTGTGTAAGTAAGGTTCTTGTCCTCAGAGAGGTCAGTATGATAGTGAGAATAAATATGGAAGTAAGTGAAATTCAGCGTAAGATGAGACTATCATGTAGTTTCCTCATGGATTAAAGAAAAGTTTAATTGATAATTTAAAGTATTTTGTACTAGTTAAAATGTTTTTATAGGGCCGAGGATATAGCTCAGTGGCACAAGTGCCTGCCTGGCAAGTGCAAGGTCCTGAGTTTGATTCCTGGTACCAAAAAAACAAAAAAGTTTTTAATAAACCTGACATTATATAAGATTTATAAATTCTGTATTGCTATCTTCTTTTTTAGTACAATTACTTGCTTTAGATTATTAGTATACAGTTCCACATAAATCATTATTTAAAGTGAAATTGTCAAAATATTTTAATTAGACACTGAACTTACAAAAGTATTATTTTTAGTTCCTTGGGTACTTTTTGGTTGATATAATACAAAATTCTTATTTTTAAGCCAAGTTTAGGTATTTAAATAGTATTGTGAAATTTTATGTCTTAAGTTCTTATATTCACTGAATGTGAATAGAACTGTTTTCAGGAAGGCAAAATGAAGAAGGCAAAATGAGAAAGATAGCATTTTCTATATGTAATGATATATATACTATTTCTGTGGTAGTATCATTTTCCATCTAATTAGTGTATTTTTAAGGTCTTTGTCTAGTGTAAGATTCTGTTTCCATTAAAAACACTGAGTTGAGGACTACGCAGGCGCAGGCTGCCTCCTGGACAGGAGGATGCTTCTGGTCTTCGTAATCTGATGGTAACCACAGGAGTTACTTTTGACTGTCTTGGCAGCCAGATCATTTTTACCCCTGGCGTGAGGGGACAGAATGCTGTACTCAGAATCACTATGAATCTCCCAGCCATTTGAAAGGAAATAGAAAGTGCTGCCCCCAGTGCCTAGAGGGTTGGTTGACATTTGAGACTCCTTCCTGCTCTCTGAATCAGAGAACAGTGATTTTCATCTTAAACCAGTGTTAAGTCTAGTTGCTGCTATCCCTATTGGTTCTGGCAGCTAGAACTTAGAATATTTAACATTTGAGGGCTTTTTCTACATTATATTTTATTGTTTGAATGTTTAATAACGTTGAATTTTGGACATCTTACCTTCAAAAACATTGTGCTTTGAGAAACAAGAAAGCAGTAAATCAGTAATTAAAAAAATAGCTGAGTCAAAATGGGTTATTATTGTTTCTTTAAACTCAACAATACCAGCATTGTATTTTTTCTTAAATATGTGTGGAAGGTTTTTATTACACAGTAATAGACTATACTAGCAATGTAAAACTCCCCATATATATGTATATATATGTGTGTTTGTATATCACAAAATTGCATTCCATAAAGGAAAAAAAAGCTCGTACATTTGGAGCTATTAAAATGTTCAAATTCTTTTTTTTTTTTTTGGTTTTTCTCCGGTACCAGGAACCGAACTCACGACCTTGCACTTGCCAGGCAGGCGCTTTGCCGCTGAGCTAAATCCCCAGCCCCCTAAAATGTTCAAATTCTATAAATGCAAAGGTAACATAAGACAATCAGAGAAATAAATCAATAGATTTGAAGAAAATACTTTATAACATGTTGCAGTTAAAGCGTTATTTTCATAATATATAAAGAATACTTACAGGTCACTAAGAGAAAGATGTCCTAATTAAGCAATGCACAAAAGATTATATAAATAGATACTTCGCAGAAGTGGAAACGGTAATGGCCAAATACCATATAAGCTCTTGAACCATGCGTTGTAAAACTATAAGGAGATGCTATTTTATATCTACCAAATTGTCAAAATTGTGAAAGTCAGTACTAAATATTAGTGAATGTGGAGAGGTGTAACAGACATTATTAAAATTACTAGTGAGAGTAAATAAAACTTCTTTTTTATTTTAAAGAGAGAAAGATTAAAAAAAGAAAAAACAATGCAGAGTTTCAAAACAGGATAATAGGAAATTAACAGTGGTTAACATATTGCAAATTGTTGTTGTCAAAGTAGTTGATCAGATTGAGTAAAACCTCTTGAAAAATAAAATAAATTCTACATCATACATATATGGCCTAGAAATTCAGTTTCTAATCCTATAACTTGGAAAAATTTATAGTACATCAGAGTGTACCCAGAAACATTGTAGTAGCAAGAAAGTGAAGACAACCCAGTTGTCAATCACCTTGGGAATAGATTAAAACAGTTTCCATGTATTGTTTAACACTGTGGTGAAAATCCAGGGGATTTAAATTTTATACAGTTTTAAAGCGTGCAAACTATAAATGAAGGTTCCATATATGTAACAAAGCTTTTATAAAAGCAAGAATACTTTAAAAACAAAATTTAAGATTCATATGTAGATTTATCAGTGAAAGACAGAGTAATAGTGAAATAAGACAGGTAAAGAGGGAGCTTCAGAAGTAGATAGAATGTTCTTGAGCTGTCTTCCTATGCTGAAGTATTCTTACCAAGCTGTGGAATAAAACATGCTATGTTCTTTATATCATTATTTTCATATACATATATGTTATATACAGCCTGTGAATGTTTGAAAGTTGGGGTTGTATTTCAGAACCTTTCTTAATCAGCCATACTAATGTTTCAGTGCACTCATGTTAGAAAATTGCTTCTATTGTTTGTACATAAATGTTTGATTTGCTTTCTTCTTATTTCCGACCTTCTATAATTTCATGGTGCTTCAAAACTATGTGCTGAAATACACATTGATACAAATACTACATTGATACAATTACTACATTGGTAGGAAATAATTTGGAATTGTTGAAACATTTTGCTCCAGGAATTCTTTGCTGGTTTCCACTATTCCTTGTTTTCTCTAGTGGTAAGTCTGTAAATGTATTCTTTCCTATATACATATATGGAGAGCTTGATTTTTCTTTCTATATCAATAGGCAAGTGAAAGACCAAAATAAGAAGGTAGCAAATCTGAAGCACAAGGAACAAGTGGAAAAGAAGAAGAGTGCACAGATGCTAGAGGAGGCCCGACGAAGGGAAGACAACCTCAATGACAGCTCCCAGCAACTGCAGGTCAGAGCACGTGGAGAGTGAAAGGATTCTTAATCGCACCTTTTCTTCTTTATCCTCTTATTGTTTCTCTTTCTGCTTGCTGCCTTGCTCTCAGATCAACTGTTTAGCAATAAAAAAATGTCTTTAAATAGAAAAGACAAATTTTATCCCACAGCTTTGTGAAGACATCTCACCTTAGGAGAAAATTCATCCTGCTTCCAGTTGTTCTCACTTGATTGGTAAGTTCTGTGTCAGTCTAATGAGTGACTTCTATAAGTTTCAGGGTCATTGTAACCCTTTGCCTATTCCAATTATTAAAGTGTATTGCTAATCCTGATTTTCGTCTCTTTCTTCCTTAATTCTGTTTTTCCTTTTTCTTTTCCTTCTATCCTTCTTTACTCCCACTAGTTTTTCTTCCTTTTTTATTTTAAATTCAATTCAAAGAGAATACTTCATAGTGGTATTGGACATTATTTTTCACCTGCAAGGAATGAAACCTAAACCTAATTATTCACAAATAACCTAAACCGGGCCCAATAACAATAGTAGCAGCTACCAAATGATAAATGCTAATTAAGTTTCTACTATTTAAACAAGGCTCTAGTCTCCCCACCTCCCACCTTTTCTAACCTTGACATTAAAAAACAGTGAACTAGATGGTATTGTGTACATTTTTCAGATGAGGAAATAGACTCAGAGATGTTGACTTAGTTGCCTAGATTCACACAGCTTTCTAAGTGGCGTTGCTACAATTTTAACTATGGGATGACTTCTGGAACTGCTGCCTGTCCTCTTTCTCTTGGCTATCGTCCTTCATAATGAAAATTTAGGTCTTACAGGATACTGTCTTACTGGAATCCTCTGAAAATCGAGGTAAGACACTGCCACTTTGTCTTTCTGTCCTTTCAGGTTCTAGTAGGGTATGATCCAGTGTTTGTGCCAAAATTGCATAACTGCACAGCCCTGACTGGAAAAATGTGCTGGAATTATTATCCAGAAACTATTTTTAGGCTTTACAACAAATTCATTCTAAACAGAGACTGCACTGTCTCTACTCATTTTTCATTCCTTTTTAATATAACTTTTACTGATAATATTCTACAGAAAATACATGAAGCTGGGTGTGGTGGTACATGTCTATAATCCCAGCACTTGGGAGGCTGAGACAGGAGGATTGCCATGAGTTCAAGGCCAGCTTGGATTACATAACGAGACCCTGTCTCAAATGAAAAGAAAGAAAAAGAAAATGTGTGTTTCCTCAACTACGTAAGCTTTTTTTTAAAAAAGTACTACATCAGTTTTCTCTCACTCTTACCAAAAGTTGTTAATACTGGCACTTTTTTCTTCTTCTTGCTCTTCTTTTGTTTAAAAAAATGCAAGCCTGTGGGAGGAAAAAATTTCATTTATGTTAAAATACATTTTTCTCCACTGTTGGACATGGTGGCACAGGTCTGTGATCCCAGAACTCGGGAGGCTCAGGCAGGAGGATCATTGTAAATTTGAGACCAGCCTGGGCTACAAAGTGAGCTCAAGGCAGCCTGAACCGTGTAGCTAGACTCTGTCTCAAAAAAGACCAAAAAAAGAAAAATTTTTTTCTCTCATTTTGAATGATTTTTTCTTTTTTTTTACAACTTGAATTTTTCAATATTGTATTAGTGTTACTTAAGTCTCTCTTTTTCTATAGTTTTTTCTGTGGATTGTTTTTGCTTATTTTGTCTCCATTTTGAGAACATATTATTTACCTATAAATATTTCTGTACTTACAGTGCTTTCATTTTTTTTTACCTTTCTTTTTATATTTATTTTAGAGTATTTTACATGGAGTTTCTATCTTTTTCACTAGAATGTAGGTAGGTAATTATTTCATTGCTTATAGATTAGAATTGATATTTTATGAAATTGGTTAATAGTCTACCACGGGGAGTTAAATTGAAACTCCCTTCTTGAAGTATGAGCACATTTTTTAACGATAGAAAATAATCTTGTTTTTATTTATTTATTTATTTATTTATTTATTTAATTTTTGTCTTTTTGAGACAGGGTCTCACTATGCAGTTCAGGCTGGCCTTGAACTCACTTTGTAGCCCAGTCTGGTCTTGAACTTGCAATGATTCTCCTGCCTCAGCCACCTGAGTGCTGGGCTTACAGGTGTGTGCTACCATGTCCAGCTATAATCTTGTTTTATAATAAAGCAAGTATGTCTTGTTAGTTGGCTTCTTAACTATATCCTTTCTCTTCTGTCCTGGCTCTCTGCCAAATCTTTTTTTATGGCCAGTCTGCCTTTGTAAACAAAAGGTATTCTTCTTAAGCTTATGTTAGTTGTTGTAATACCCCAAGTAGTTTCATAAGTACGAAGTATTGTTTATTTTGCATATAGAAAAAACTAACTTATAGAGGATGCTTGAACTTTCCAAAGTATGTCTCAGTAAATATCAAAGTTATGAAAAATGGTAGCTGATGGGCATATCGTATACAAATCACACATGGATGAAATTCAAAGATAGTGAAAAAACCATTGGACTATAATTAGGGTATTTAGGATCTGATTTGTGTCCTTTTATTAACTATTGTGTTACTTAGTATATTTTCAAAGTATGTTACTACAAATGACAATCCAGTGGTAGTGATACAGGGGGAAGAAACTCCCAAGCTGGAAGATATCTGAGACAATTTCATGTTCTCTAAAATTGAAGAATATTAGCAATAAGAGAGGTTAAGAGCAGAATGTATTTATTGAAAGAAAGCTTCCTTCTGTCAGAGAGAGAGAGAGAGAAGGGGACCTGAGTGGATTGCCAAGGACTCTGCCTTTCCTAGGGATTTTATAGAGAAAACCCATGAGTTGAGGGGTCCAAGGTGGGGGAAAAAGGGAAATTGCTAGGTGGGTATGAGGTGGGATAAAACTGTGGTCAGCCAATAAGATTACAAGTATAATTGCTCAGGTAAAATTGATTAAATCAGGATCAAATGGGGAAGCACATCACATCCGAGTGGGCATGAATACAGAGCAGGGGCTTTTCCTGTAGGGGATTGGGTTAGTGACTCTTCGTGGCTTTTTTATGCCTGATGTCCATCTCTAGAGAGGTATGTGGCTGTATTTGTTTAATCTTTTGTTCAGAGGTCTGTCCCACAGCGAAGTGCCTGTCTGTCCCACAGTTGCAAGATACCTTGTCTTCCATATTGGCTCCTTCGAAGGCCTAGCCTTGTCTGACTGCCTGTAATATTTCTATCTAACTCAGCTGCCTACAGCAGTAGGGAATATCCCTAGGCCCAGGCTGTGATCTCTAAAGGAATCTAGGGCTTGCTGGAGAAGTGTTGGATTCAGGATTGCAACTGGGAATGTACAGTGTAAACCTAGATTGGTTTTAGTATACATTGGAGTCACCTGGCAGGCTTTTCAAAACGTAGAGTGCTGGATCCTGTCCTTAAGGTTTCTTCAGTATATTGGGATAAGTCCTATGAATTTGCATGTTTAACAACTTTTTATGTGACAGTGATGTTTCTAGTACAGGGACAATGCTGAAAATAATGATTTTTTTCTTAGCATCATTTATACTAAGGAAAAAAAAAGAATTAAGAAGCTATCAGACATGACTGGGAATATAGAAAGAGGACAGAGTGAGTATAAAAGGGAGCAATGAGTACAGTGGATTAAATTAAATCAAACATATTCCAGTCCAAAATTTCACATTGAAATTATGGAAATAATTTGTAAATTGCTAGGGCACCAACTCATTGCTCTGAAAACAGATGAATAAAAGGAAAGAATCAGACAGTTATTTTGCCTTTTATGGATAAATTGTGCTGAGGAAAACCAAATAAATTCATCTTGTTATTGAAAGAATTCCAACTGATAAATGCAGAAACAGTGATAGAATTCAGAAAATTACCATTTTGGAGTGATGAAATGAAGCATGGATTTAGGCAACTCTGCAGTGAATGCTAAAATTGTTAGATGAAATATCAAGGTCAAAAAAATGTCAAGGTCAGCTTTATAATGGATGGAATAGGTTGATGTCCATTGAGAAACCTTGTAATTCCTCCAAAAGAGGAAAGAAAAAAAGCACACACACATTTGAACTCTGATGCTTTTGGAGGTAAGTAATAGGTGTCAAAAAAATCAAATCTGGGGGCTGGGGATTTAGCTCAGTTGCACAGCACCCGCCTGGCAAGCGCGAGGTTGTGAGTTTGATTCCCGTTACCAGGAAAAAAATAAAAAAACAAACAAACAAAAAAAATCAAATCTGATCAAGCCAGATTAGAGGAAAGAATATGAGGCAAAGAAATATGTTAATTGCTCAAGGAAAAGGTATCAACCAAATAGAGAATATATAAAAAATTTTGTATGATAAATGGCTTGGTTTCTTCACCTAAGATCTGGCAAGAGAAGAAATAAATACGATTATTACAACTTTTAAATTAAGAAACAAAATTTTAAGCAATCATTGTTTAGAATTGAATCTTGACTTGAATTACTTTAGAAAGGCATTTGCGAGCCTCTGGGAGAGAGATGAGCACTTCACAATTAAAGCCGTATTATAGTTGCGTAGAGTTTATTATAGTGTCATCTCTATACTTTTGTGTATATTTGACAGTTTCCCTAATAAAATGCTGAAAAACAGGTGTGTCATTCAATCACTTGACTCTGTCTTTATTTTCTGAAATTAGTCATAAGATGATCAGACTATGTGGACTTTTGTGTGTTGTTCAGTCTACTTAAACATATTTATGTAGCTTTGGAATGGAGTCCTTAACCTTGGCTCAGTTTCTTT